AAACAACTACACAAGCAGGATGCTCAACACACCACCTTTTTCAGAAGCTGCACTCTACCAATGATATTAAGAAGGGTTTAACTGCATAGCAAGCCCTTCCCAGGAGGGTAAAGGATAAAGGATTCTGCCTAAAGTGTCTTCTCTCAAACCTCTTTCTCTGGTATCACCACTGGCAGAGGCTGCTCTCCATTCAGGGCACTTGTGCAATACCATTCCTAGAACATGGAAGTGTTATCTGGGTATCTTGTTCTGTGGTGATATCAGTGGAGAGTTTACACAACTGATACAACTGGAGGAGGAAGCACCTTAATCTCAGTGAATGAAAGGTAAAAAATACACAATGCATCTTCACTGTATGTGCGGAGAAGACACCTCACTCTGCCCCAGACTGAAAACATGCACATTAGATTTGCTGGGTTGTTATTGATGTTTTCAGTTGTTTTGTAATACAGAAAAGTTTTCACATGTTCTAGTAAACCCAACAGCAGTTAACTGCATTACAGTGTCATTGCTTATTCACGGTAGGAAAAAAAAATCGTGACAAAAATTTACATTTACTGCTAAATAAATGAAATAACACTTTGTCGTAGGAAAATTTCCCTCTTTTGAAAAAGGTAACTAAGAATTGCTTTCAGTGAACAGATTTATTCATTCATTCGGGAAAATGAAAGCCTAGGAAGTTCCACTGAAATATCAGCATTTCCATCATGTGGAAAAAATGACTAAAATACATAATGATTTTGCATGCATAGCTGCAAATGATTCTGTTATGGTCCAAATAGCTCTTAAATTTTGTTTCATTCAGATTCCCTGGATTTGTTTGCATTTTATTTTGCCAGAACACAACTCAAGATATGTCATTTTTACTATATGTCTTTAACTAAGAGCCATGAAAGGTCAAAATCAAAACACATGACAAATGGCAAGTTGGAAGCGGAAGGGCTTGAGCCTTGATGTTATAAAACTAAGTCTTGTGCATGACTAATCAAGACACATCCACGGAATTTCAAGATAAAATACTTTCTGAATCCTAAAAGCCAGCATCCACTTCTTTCTGCTTTTACAAACCTAGCTTTTGTAACTAGCAGGAGCCCCTGCCAGTTATGAAATGGAAAATAGTAACAACTACCACAATAAAATAGGACAAACAAGAGAAACACAGCTGACCAACAAATTGCCTATTAATCATGTACACTGTCATTAATGACATGGTAGCACATTTATATATATATGGTAACTTGAAAGGAAAAAAGATCTCAACTAAACCTAGAGAACTTTCACACATAATACATTACTGCCTTAAACACAAATAACAGCCATGTTGCCAGCCTGCCTTACCATATTTGAACAACTGTTTTCAGCCCTATACTTCTAGTCAGCCTGGAGTTATAATGGAAGACAAAGAAAAAAAGACATTGCTGAAACTATTTAATTTTTAGTAACTTCTGGGCTGACAAAGTCTATTCACACATTAAAAATCCAGGCCTTAACTATGAGGGAAACTTTTTCTCAATATAAATCAATAGACAGTCACTAATTTCAAGTGAGTTTCATAGATAGCCCAATTCAAGAATCTAGCCCATTTATGTTCTTTAATTAAAACCATTTCCCAGTCACAACTTGCAGTCACTTGTTCTAGAACACAGCGCAAGTGTAAACCTGCCAGAAGAGGGGGGGGAAAAAAACCCACCTGCTTATAAAAGAGCTAGTTAGCTTATATACATATATGCAGATTTATATTAAAACCAGCAGGGCACTTAAGCAAAAATATTGTCCTTTAACATACATAAGCACTAATATCTTTTGTTGAAAGCATACAACAAATAAGCATTTTTCAATAGTCTAGCTTGAAATCAGTTCATACATTGATGACACCATCTTCCAACTCATTCATTCTCTCACTTTTCAGTAAAACCATTCTCAGACTCCCAATTACTTTAACACTGTTCATCAGTAGTTACTCTCCATTCTACACTGAGTCTGCACAAGAGTGTATAGCATGATCCATACACTACTCACCAAGTGTAGACTGTGGGGTATGAAAACTCAGCAATAAAACCAGAACAATGAAATCCATCCCTACTTGAGCATGAAACACAGTGGGTGTTTTTAATAACTATGATGTGCACACTGGCAAATGACTCTCAGCTACATTGTCTGTAACCAATCACAGCCACATACACTATTACAAATTAGCTGGAGCAAAGAAGGTACAACTTACTTGAAATGTGCATTAAAATGTTGAATAACAATTTCAGATATTATCTGAATAAGGACACCAGAATGACTTGAATTCATCACACCAAATTTATCCTGTTGGGGGGGAGGATTTTAAGGAAAGATCCCAAAAGAAAATTCACAGAAGAGACAGTTTGTATGAATAATACTGCTAGAGTGTTTAGTCAACCCTTTCTGACAATGGGAGGAATAAACTGCTGATCCTCATTAATAGGGATCAGCATCATTTAGTGTTATCACAGGAAATTCAAGGACATCAGAACACCAAAGTGTGGAGAAAACCATTAGACCCTTACGACAAAAGGCCAGTGGGATATATGTAGGTTGGAACAGAGGCATTTCACTCTTTCCCCCACCCCCACCAGCCCTTGGGTCTTCAGTTAATCTTATCTCACTGCAAATCCTAAAAGAGAGGCTACAGCACAAGGTGGTGTTAAAAACCAGAAATTCCACAATTGTTTTTGCTTTCTTCGTTTCTTCCAAGGTAGGGGACTGCCTACAGGGTCACCACAGTCCTGTTCCCAGACCCCACAGGCTCCCACCAACCACACACATGGAACTGTGCCTGGATGCCTTCCTGAAGAAAGGAAGGGGCCACGTTTCTGCACACAAACCTCCCTCTCTTCAAACCCCACCTGCTAAACCAGTGAAGTCCTGTAGGTGGGACTGCCTGGGTCCTGCTTTGGGGTGGGAGTTAAGGCAGCCTGGGGTGAGGTGGTGCTGAGCAGAGCAGCAGAACTGGTACCACAGACAATGTGGACACAAGCAGTTCCCTGTATCAGTAAGCACTGGTGGCACACTGGTATCACTTACATTTGGGTTCCCACCTGGGCATGGTAAGAAGGAGGGGTAGAAGAGGAAGGAAGTATATTATGGCTGGTCTTTGCTTTTTCAGAGGGCAGATGAAAGGTCTACAAAGTTTCACTGTAAAGGAATGCACTTCAAAGGAGAGTTCAAGACAAATAAGATTTTGTCAGCTCTAACTACAAAATGAAAGGGGGGGGAATCACAGAAACATACTCTATACTTATTACTGTAACATATTATAAGTTTTTTTCTAGAGAGTAATCCTAAAGAGCAGCAATATGGACTCATTCTCCTTTCCAAGTAAACTTAAAAAAAAAAAAAATCAAGAAGAGAAAGGGATTGTAAAAGCCTGAAATTAACCCATATTAGTGTAAGCCTTTTAGTGAAATACAGTCTTTTTAGTTAGTTTTCCCACTCGTTAACAGCTAGAGGTCTTCATCAAATACTTCAAAACCTGAAGCCAGGGATCACCTCTCCCACCTCTCCGTTTCAAGGCCCTGCCACTCCAGGGAACCTAGGACAGCATCCCTCTCTCCAAGACAGAGAGGAAAACTCTTCTCCAGGCCATTTACTGTGCACTCCCCGCTACAGTGCACACAAGTGCCATCTCCGTTAGCTCCTCACCTTGGGTTTTAAGAAAGCAGAAATACAACCCTCGGGAAAACCAAGCCCCAGCCTGAGGCACAGTCCTCCGGCAAGCCATGCCCACACGCCTCCAACCCCCTGCCACGTCCAGGTGCGACTCGGGGCGGCAGGTGATGGTTCAGTGGCGAGAGCTCAGACACCTTTTCACGGAGGTCCTTCAGGGAGGGGGAAAGGCAAGGGAGAATCATTCCTCCTTTGTCCCGGAGGAGCAGCGGGTTCGGAACCCGCACAAAGCTCAGCCGGGCTCCCCTCGCCCCGCAGTCCCGCTCGCTCTCCCGCCTCCCCTCAGCCTCCGGCGGCCCCGGCCGTGCGGGTCCCGCGCAGCGCCGGCCCGACGGCACCGCGGGGCTTTGTGCGGGAGGGGCGGCCCGGCAGCCCCGGCACCTGCGGGAGCCCAGAGACCCTCCCGGCCGCGCCGCCGACCCCCGCCCGCCTCAGGGTTCCTGTCAGGGGGTGCCCACCCTCGGCCGCCCTCGAGGCTCTGAAGCTCCCCCCGGGGCTCCGCGCGGCGGCCGCGCCCGGCAGGGACAGCACCCGCGGGGAACAAGGAGGGCGCCCCGCACTCACCGCCGCCGCCGCCTCCCGCGGCCCCCAGCACCCCAGCAGCACCAGCACCAGGCAGCCGGCGGCCAGGCTGCAGCTCCGCCACCGCGGCTCCATCCCGCCCGCTCAGGAGCTCCGGGGCCGGCCCTGAGGCGCGGGCATAGCCCGGCGGGGCAGCGCGGCTCCTGCAGGCGGCTCCCGCCGGCCGCCCCGATGGCAGCGCCCGCCCCTCTGGTGCACTCGCTCGCTTCTGCCGGCTCAAGTGCTCCCGGGACTACAGTATTCCTCCGCTCCGGGGGCGGGCGGGCGGTGTAGGATGAGGTGCCGCTCCGCTCCGAGGGGGCCGCGATCCCCCCAGCGCCGCCCTGCCCCCGGGCGCCGCGGTTTTGTCGGCTCCAAGGGCGGGCGCCGCCTCTCCCCGCCCCGCACCTCCACCGGGCGGGCAGCTGGACCCCGGACTATTTTCTGCAGCGGAAGCTGCTCTGAGCGTGTGTAAGGTCAGGAGGAGTTGTTGGCAGTGCCGGGTCGCCCCTCTGGAGGGGCGAGCGGCGGGCGCGGGGCTCGCCCGGGCTGGGTCCCGGCCCACCCGGCCCCGCTCAGGTGCGACGCCTCGGCGAGCACCGCGCAAACTTCCTGCCCGGGCACGCTGCGAGCGCCTGGAGGGGCTGCGGCGCCGCGGGAGGCGAGCGGTGACCGAGAGTGAGCAGCTCCAGCCCCGCCGCTCCCCCTGAGGGACCGGGCACCCTCAGGGCTCTGCCGGCAAGGATCCGCACCGTGCCCTGCCCGCCCCGAGGGACGGCGGACCCCGCTCTTCCTCGGCCGTGCCCGCGGGCTGCCCGGGCCATGGGGCGCGCAGGGTGAGTGCCGAGCGCGGCCCCCCCGCTCCCCACGGAGCCCTCGCTCCCCGCCGTGACTCTGTCCCTTTTGCCTCCCCGCAGGGCGCTGGTGCTGCTGCTCCTCTGGCTGGGCGCGGAGCTGGCGAGTGCGGTAAGTGTTTGCAGGTCCAGTGCTCGCTGGAGGTGAACGTGCCCACCCTTCTAACCTGTCGGGTTCGGGCATCCTTGGGCCAGAGAACGGACACCTCCCCGCCCCCTCGGAAAGATGCGCGGGTTTGGTTTTTTTTTAATTGCTGTACACCTGTGTTCCGAAGTTCCTTTGTGCCTTTCGCCGGCTCGACTTTGACTAGTTTTTGAAAAGTACCCTGGGGTGAAAGACCATCCGTGTGCCGTGTAACAGCTTTCAGTGTCCGAAGGCGTGGTCACTGTCTCGCTTTGCACCTGACTGCCTTTCGTTCCCTTTTAGGCTCTTCTCAAACATTTCTGTTAAAAGCTGACCCTCTTGGTCCTTGTTCGCGAGGGATCCAATCCCCAGCACATCATAACTAAGTAAAAGTGATGTGAGAAATTAAAGGATTAAGCTGTTAAGTGTTTTATCAAGCTTCATGACTATTAGTAAATGTGTTTTAAATTCCAAGTTGGTATTCAGAAGCAATGATTTTATGATCTGCCAATATGACAATTTTATGGATTTTCTCTTGCTCTTCCTAATTAATGTTTAAATAGATCAGTAGGTGATTGCAGACTTTCTAAATGTTCATAATTTTTTTTCTTTTTGGTGTTATAATAGATTTTCTACAGCTGCCGTTCTTAGCCCACTCAACTAGTGAATGAGAGAGTCCTTTGGAAGATCTGTAGACTAAATTAAGTGTCCAACTGATGTAAAGTCAGCAGTTAAAAAAAGTCTTTGTTATATTGTAACATAAATGAAGATTGCACAGTAATGTTTGTAGTGTGGATTTTACAGCTCACATACAATAGTGAATTAATGGAAGTAGTATAATATGTTTTAAGCAAGTTTATTTTAATTCAACTTTTGACAGATTTCTAACAAAGCCAGTTAAAACATGTGTTCTTGACTTGGCAGCCAGTGTTTTTCTACTGCATTTGCCACTCTTTTGATTAAAATTTTAAGGAATTAGAACCTTCCTGTGCAACTGAGAAGAAATGTTTTTAAAAGTCTTTTAATAGCAGAGGGGTTTATACTTTTCATAAATATGAAAGGCTTGATTCTGGTTTGCATTTTTTATAATCAATTGCACTAGTAGAATTTCATCATCCTGATCAGGTGGTAGTTACAAGCTTTAATCTTCTCAAAGATTAAAAGATTAGAGAGTTTTATTCAACAAAACCAAGAACTGTTCTTCTGAGAGTTCTTGCTGTAGTGGAATCTGGGTGGAAATGACTTTTATAAAGCAAGTATTTTAAAGGCTCTTTGAAGTAAATGTGCCACATTTTGTAGTAATTTTTATAAATTCATGCAATATGGCAGTGAAATTATTCCTGACTGATGCAGATGTAACTGACAGCGGATTTTAAATCGTTTGCTCCAGTTTTGCTTCCTACCTGTTGGAAAACACATCTCTTAACAGTCAGAGTTTTGTTAGTTCCTTGGGATCTTTCATTGCCCATAAAGGGGACTCTGTCAATTTAAGTCTATTGTAGTGAGTAAGATTAGTATCTACTTGCTATTGCTAAGTCTTCCTGACAGTTTTCTTCAGGGTTAGAAAACAATCAGAATTTTGGTTGCTGTGTAATCAGTCTAAAAGTATGAAAAAGAATCAGAAATAGGTCCTTAAAATACTTAGTGCTCTGCATGTCTAAGCAGTTAATGGATTTAATGATTTTTATTAAAAGTGCTGTCAAACATGCCCAACAGGAAATATTAAAACTCTGTTTTTGTAAACTTCAGATACAGTAGTAGGTTACTGACTTTCTGGTATCACTGATTTAAAAACACATCTCAACACCTTCTAGCATGAAGTAAGCTGTTAAGAGAAAGTACTGGTGACTGAATTTGCAGTAAGCAGAGATTTTTTTTTTTTAGGAAAAGCAAGATCTCTGAAACATTTCTTAATAGTCTTCTGGTATATAATTTGAAGTGACAGAGCACAGTGAAGTACCATGTTAATCAAATGAGGTTAAAGCTTTAGGTTAATAAGGAGTAATAACTTCTAGAAGACTATTCACAGAGACAGTCCACTTGTTGCTGGAGATGGTGTCATTTACAACTGTTGTTCTTAATTTCTTTCCTTCAAAAACCTCATTTCAGTAACATATCTGTTGTAAAGGAAACTTCCTAAATATTGTTCTAGTTGTTGAGTGCTCTTCAGGAATGGTACTGTGGAGATGACTAGTGTAGGCAGTGGCTAATATGTCAGGTCAGCACCTTGAATGAAGTTGTATCAAAGATGGCTTTGACACACAGGTCTCAATTATGAGGTGTAGTCATCCCCCTTTCTGTAAGAACAGGATTTTAAAGTGTATCTGAATGAATGTCTCAGTTAATAATTGTTTTCCCTGGGTATAAGTGATAATCTATTTTGAACGGCAGTACAAAATTAGTCCTGTAATGCTATCTGTGTTTTCTTGAGCCAAATGTTGAAAACATAGATGACTTGCAGTTACTTTGCAGAGATTATTGCCTCGTTTGTAGACCAATTGCTCCCCTAACAACTTTCATCTGAAGTCACTCTAGAAGCTGTGCTTCATTTGTGGTTTCAGTCTTTTATCAACAATAATTTGCATTAATAATTAGCCAGCAGTGTCAGTACAGGATGCTGTGCATGAGTAAAAGAACCTTGTAGTACTGTCCTTGAGACATTCATTACACCAAGACAAATGAGAAAAGTTGGTCCAGAACTAGGGGGGATAAGAGGTGCTAGAGAGGCAGGGGTTTGCCTTGGCTGATCACTGCCCTCCCCTGAGGCTTTTCCAGGCTATAGGGCAAAATGGAGTTTTTAGGAGAGGGACTGTTTTTAAGAGATACTCAGAGTTTTGCTGATGTTTTGGGGTTGTCCTCTCAGAAACGTGAGGTGGAGCATGAGCTGAAAATGGTCACAAGATGGAGAGACAGCCTCCTGCTCAGCTGAGCTGCATCATAGTCCTAGAAATCATTCTGTGCCTCCCTGAGAGCATACCTGACATGCAGGTGAGATGATAGCTCCTCATTTATTTCTTTTCTGTCCTTCTTCAGCCAGCTGAGTGTACCTGCACTGGTTTTGATGTGATGTCCTAAGGAACTACTGTTAGGACTTACTGTAAGGATTTGCCATCAGACATGTTCTGTTGGAACACCTGAGCTTTCAGATGGAGTTCAATTAGTTTTATTTTACAAGTGGACTTCACATACTATTGCAACTCCTCCATTTATTTTTTTTTTTTGCTAATAAATGTGCAGATTAACTAGAGCCACTCTCTTTTTTTAGCACTTAGTATCTTGTTCAGTAAAACATTTTCAGTATCCAAGTAAGGCAAATAAAAACTATGTGTGAAAACCAGTTCTGGGCAGTCTGCTCTATTTTGAGTAACTGAAGCTCTACTAGTTCATGACACACTAACCCAAGCGATCTTATTTATCTGTCTCCCAGGTTCTCTGTGTGTTTTGTTTCTATATCTATGATACAAATGTTTCATAATATCTTTTACTTTAATATGTACTGGAGCAGCTTAACTGAACCGAGCTCGTTGTTTTCAGTGGCCAAAATTAAATTTTGTCCCAGAGACTCTGACAGAGGGGAAAAATAGCTGTTTAATTATGGATATTCAAAACCAGACTTGCAGCTTTCATCATAACACTTTCCAGTGCAGTTTCTGCAAATACGATGTTATCCATTGAAGAGGTATTTATAAAGTTCTGTTTTCTTTTTCTTTGCCATTTTAATCAGTGTTTGTAAGTATGCAATCCTTCTGTAATTTGATTTTTACAGCTGTATCTTTATATAGTCGTGAACTTTATGGGGGAAGAAGTAATATCTGTAGTAAAGTTACTTGTATAAGGAAGGAATCTACAGAATTCTAGAAACAGTATAAAATCTTCTAAATCTCAGGATTTGTGTCCCAGATAAGTCTTCTAATGTGTAAGAATGCATGGGTGTGGAGGCTTGTTTGGTGAAGATTCCCATAGTGTATTGAGAATGGTCATTCTGGGAAAGTCAAGTTTGAGTGGCAATAGGTCTGTAGTAAAATAATAACAATTATAACCTGGTTCTGTAGCAAAATAATGAGAATTACTAAAAAAAGAAGCTGATTGTTCATAACAGTGCTAATTATCAAGCTTTTGCCAAGACATGTTGAGTCTACGGGAAATTTTCATTTAAAGCTGACTATCCCTTTCTCTCCCATCTGAACAAATAATTGTTTATTTGCTGTTTTATTGTTTATTCTGGGTGCTGAGACAACAGAGCCTACAAAGTGGCTGTTTATTTGGCACTCAGATACCATTTCAGGTTACAGCAGCTATGACATGGAGTAACACGTGATGGTGTTCTGAGAAGCTTTTTTTTTTGATATCATTATCGATTTAAGGTTGTGGCTGCCTTTTCATAGGTGTGAGAAGCACTGTGTGACCTGAAGAAGCATTTTATTTCCCCTTCTGTACAAGCCAGCTTTGCTACCAGCCACTGTGTTCCCCGGGCTCTTGTCAGACAGTTTGGTTATGGATCAGGAAATATGACCCACCTGGTTTTTGGGCATCTTTCAGGATGAACTAGGAAGGGATTGCTACAAACACTGCAAAGCTCATGATTCTGTATTGAACAGTGCTGAGGAAACAAACATATTTCAGAGATGCCAGCCAGTTTTACCCTTTTGTCAGTGACTTTTTGGGGATTATCAGTTTTTTTAGGGCAAGTCTTTAGGTACCTCAAAATAATAAAAGGAAGATATTCCTTCTGGGAGAAAAAAGGTATTCTTTTACTGTAGAGTGGTGTAATAGTATTTTGAGATGCTCATGAAGTTATATAGATAAAAAAAGTCTTTCCTGCCAGAATTCTTGATGTACTTGACCTTCTCTCTTCCTTCATAAGTGGGTTTGTGTGCCCCTCCATGGATAATGATTAATTTCCTTGGGTGGCTGGGTTTTTAGTTATCTTTTTTATTTATTTTTTTTTATTACTTTATCTTATTTCAAAATATCCCTAGAGCCCAGTA